TTTGATACCCTTATTCCTTACTTAACCTTGCTTTTCTATAGCATCCTGACTTCGAGTCTTCTAGTGAGACTATTATGCACTGTTGGCTTCATTTACTATTGTAATTTTAGTTTCGTGATGTGATAGGATCAATGCAGCTTTCAGAAGAGTAAGATAACTAACTAGAAAAATTATCAAAGCACCTTGCAATACAAATACTTAAGCTATTATAGAGAGATTATATGTAAATCTTCAAGAAGAATTCTGAGTGTGCATTTGCTAAGGACATCATGGGCACGTTTTGCATGCTTTTGTGAAGCCACCCATTTGGTTAATTTTATAAAAGTGCTTCTTCTAGTTAGCTTTTAGAGGATGTTGCTTCCTCTATATGTTCTTCTGAAGGAGAAACTCTTTTAGAAATTAGTTTTCAAACACTAATTAAAGTAATTTTTTATGAAACTCTTTTGCAAGAATTAGAAGCGGAAGAAGACGCCCAGCCAAACAGCCCATGTGCTTGGTTTGACTAAACACGTGTCATGAGAAACATTAAAGAAAGATTTTTAGTTTTGTAAATGAAGGATTATTGGATGAATGATTAGGGAAACCAAAAAAATAAAATAAAATAAAGTTTTCTCTCTTTTGCCATTTATCTTTAATTTACTGGATTTGAGGTAGTTGAGAAAGGCCCAAAATACCAGGTTTATGCAAGTTTTCAGGAAAGAGAAATAGGAAAATAACTTGTGTAAAATGTGCAATTACCTGCTCTTAGTACGCATTTATTGTGTCCTGAAATCTAACTAAGCTAGTTTTCTGCTGCATAATTAATAGTCACATTGAAATGATGAGTTGTCACGAGATACATTAGTGGTGCTGCTTGAGTGTCATTCATCATGATGTCCAATTTGCCTGTCATTTGATTTGGCCATGTTTTTTTTGAAAGGTAATCGGAAATTTTATTAATCAAACCATAATACACAGGAAGTGTATTATCAATACAAATCCGAAAGAAATGACATAAAATTGAGCAGCCCATCATTTGATTTGGCCATGTTACAATGCATTTATATTTTTCTTTGCCTTGTTCCACCATTTGACAAGTTTCATTGAGTTCTTTTCTAACTAATTCTATTTAATATGCATGCAGAAAGAGGATGTCCATCATTCAATAATATCTGACCTTCAGAATGGGAACTCAGAAACTAGGAGGCGTCTTGCTGTTTACTGTTTGAAGGTACAAATATCTCTGTGGTTAAGCTCGTGCAGTTGTCTGGCCAATAAAGTAGCGTGATGTCTATGAAGAAGGAATATATAAAACAAGCTTTCCGCCTTTCTCATTCTTAATAGAATTAGTTCAACCCATTTATGTATTGAATTATGTTCCAGCACATTAAGGCAATATTGCTCTCAGTGAGGAATCAAGTTACGATGAATTATGCTTTAAGCTTTTAAATGACTGTCACACCCAAACTGATTCATAAGGCTGTGTATGCACTTTTGCTAAATCTGAAGTCAAGCCAAGCCGACTGACTGGCTACTTCTTAATAAGTTTTTAGATGCATAATCCACCAGAGATGGGTGAGTGAGGAGACTAGCATCTTAATGTATAAATACTTGTTTACCAAGTGTAACTATGTAAGCCAGCTTCTTAATTAATTAGGATATCCATAGCATCTTTCATGAAGCATGATTTAACCCAATTTGTAAGGCTTTGTCCATGAAATGTATAAATCATATTAATGTAGTTTTTCATCCATTATAAAGGGTATATAACCTATAAAAAAAAATAAAAATGAAACGAATGAATAAGCCTAGTAAATGTTATTTTACATTATTTATATATCACTTAGCTCCTTGAATATAATAAGATTGGCACTGTATGTTGTTTGGACTTAGCTGGAGTGTCAACACTGTCTACTCCCCAAATTTTAAGCCTATCGAACCTGTCATTTAAAAACTTTAGCTGTAAAAGAGGGGGACATATTTATTTTAAATCATATTTCCATCATGCTCCTTCACATATATGCCAGATTCATTTGTTCTGATAAGCTTGACATGTGAACAAATCTTTATAAGTGGTGGCTTAGAGACATCAATCTGGACCCTTGCCTACCTTGATATGATGTTGAACCACTTCCTATAAAATCTTTAGTAGGGAAAACTTAAATTATGTCTTCACCAAGTCTGTAAAACTCTAAAATCTGGATAATGGATTGGGAAAGGTGTTATAAATACTTTAAGCATTTCCTTCATTCCTGTGGTATATATGCATAGCATAACAAAAAACAGTTATAAATGCAATATTCGGATCGGTTTTCAATAGTTATAGAACAAGTAAAGTAACTTTGATTTATGTTTTGAATGCATATTCAGATCTGTTTACAATAGTTATAGAACAAATAAAATAACTTTGATTTATGTTTTAAATCATGCTCAATGAAGATCATATTTTGTTCACTTTTTTTATTGTGACTGTTCTGTTTGTGAAATCTATTCTAAAGCTCAAACTAACATCAATCACTATCAAAACATAGGTCCTAAGAGATTGGTTAAATAACTTAGTTGAATCAACTGATTGGCTTCTTTTCACTTTTTATATTTAGTTTGTCATGATTGAATCTAATTCGGCAATTCATCGGTAAGGGCAATTTAATAGCTGAACCTCAAAATGCTGCAGATAAGAAAAAGAAAATAGTTTGACGGGGAAATTCGATTTCACTATTTATGTATGGGTACTGAATGTAACAAACATTTCCAGGATGCTTACCTCCCACAACGGCTTTTGGATAAGTTGATGTTCATTTACAACTATGTGGAGATGGCTCGAGTCACAGGTGTTCCCATTTCGTTTCTGCTATCCAGGGGGCAGAGCATTAAGGTTATTTCATAATTTTGCAACTACAGAATTTTGATCAGTTTGTAGTCTTAGGCCATCTGGGAATCTTATATATGACCATTACCTTCAGGTACTTTCTCAGCTTCTACGGAAAGCAAAACAGAAGAATCTTGTTATTCCAAATGCCAAACAGGCTGGATCGGAACAGGGAACTTTTGAGGGTGCAACTGTAAGTGATAATGATCTTTTCTAGACATATAGAAACTTCACAAAGATCTTAATTTTAAAGCTCACATATTTGTATCCACATTCAGGAAGACTGTAATATTGTCTTTCTTTCTCTCAAGCTACTTAACATTGATTCCTTCCCACTTAATGTGATCAACTGGGAACTCCTACCAAGTAGATGTGAAGACCTGTCTGACCAATGTTCTTGGCAACAATTTGAGCATTGTCAATTGACCAAAATGCTTAAGGCCATTTTGTTATGTAGTAGTTGTCCAAGATCCTATAACCATTTAAATAAATCCGACCCAACTGATGGTGGTGAAGGCATTGCAGTAGTAATGCTAGTAATGCTTTATCATCTTTATTCATTTTCTTTGATATCAACCCATTCGAGGTGAAAGAAATCCTAGCTTTGGTATACTAATCTCTCTACGGGAAGATGATTACTGAGCAAGTGCTAACCATTTAAAGGGATTAGCTTGAAGCTTCTGACATTTTTGGATTGGAGGTTTTCTAAAGATTAGGGTAAAAGTTATTAAATGTGCCATTCAATGCAGGCAAAGTTGAATTCTTCTAGGTATGCTTTATATTGATAAGAAGCAATAAAATTATGTAAACATCTATTTCGTTTTACATGTAATTAGTAGAAGTTGTGAAATAGAACATGAAATCATAAGTTACCAAGCAGTGGGAGGAGCCACGTCTCTCAAAGAGAACTGGATAGGTTTTTTTTATCAACTCTAAATTTCGAAAAAATGCAGGGATTGGGATTTAGCTGTCCCTTGCATTTTATGGGTGCTGTGTGGAGAAGGAAAAGTGATAATTATTTAGGCCTGGGAAAGAAATTCAAGGATTAAAAGTTGAATTTGCGAATGCGATCTTTTTGTTATAGTCATGAGAACTACCCTGTATCATTGTAATTTTCTCTTGCCTTTTGTGTTTTGGGCTGTGTATAGTTCCTCCCGTCTCCGTAAGTAGATTGCTCCTCTCATCTGAATAAGCAACGAAATGTTTGCTTACAAAACGATTCATAATGCAGGTTCTGGAGGCAAGGGCGGGATTCTACGAGAAACCTATTGCTACACTGGACTTTGCATCTCTATACCCATCCATTATGATGGCATATAACCTTTGTTATTGCACACTGGTGAATATTCTTCCCAACATGCGCCTTTTCTTTTGGAGCGAATCATGATTTTGGGAATTGAGAAGATACATAAATTTTCAAAATGATTGTCTCCCCTGAGATGCTTGTGATTTTAATTCCAAATATTTTCATTTTTTGATTGTTATTGTATAGGTAACTCCAGAAGATATCCGGAAACTTAATCTGCCCCCAGAATGTGTTAATAGAACTCCATCTGGTGAAACATTTGTCAAATCGAATTTACAGAAGGTCAATTTTTCTCTTTATACCCTAATATCTATCATACGCATGTGGCAAAAGTCATATCTCAGATATTGTGTAAATTTCTATTCAGGGAATACTTCCAGAAATTCTTGAAGAACTTTTGGCTGCTCGTAAAAGGGCTAAAGCAGATTTGAAGGTGCTCAAGTTATTCATTCTCGTAGTGTTGTCTGATAATTGTTTCAATACTTGTCTGAAATATTTTTCTTCTCCAAAATTACTTGCTATATGCCGCGTTGTGTTTTGAATGAGAACTGTTCTCTATATTAACTGGGATTTGATTCCAGGAAGCAAAGGATCCTCTTGAGAAAGCCGTATTAGATGGTCGTCAACTGGCTTTGAAGGTGTTCTTTTGCACAATTAACTAGAGTCCTCTTTTATGGTTAATATATTTCTGCTGTGTCGTGACTATATTTTTGTTTGGCTTAATATGAAGTACACTTGCAATGACCTGAGGAGTTTAATATTTGCTGATTTTTCAGATAAGTGCGAATTCTGTATATGGGTTTACAGGGGCTACGGTTGGTCAATTACCTTGTTTAGAAATATCTTCAAGTGTTACCAGCTATGGTAATAGATCCTGCTGAGAAGCCTTGCATCCTACTGCGCAATTCAAATTATCTTCTTCTATTTTGTGTAAAAGTTGTGCAATGCTTCAAAATTTTACTGATCTGATGAATTGGCCATCTTTCCAAAGGTCGACAGATGATTGAGCACACGAAGAAACTTGTGGAAGATAAATTCACCATTCTTGGTGGCTATGAGCACAACGCTGAGGTATTCCAATTATAATTATTGACCAGAAATTTACATCTGGTCCATCAATGTTTTTTAAAACTGAAGTTGAAGAATTATACTTGGAAATGTATCTTGTTGCTATACTTTCTTGTGGTTAACCAGTAAAGCTAGTAGGTGGTGGTTATTGTTTCGTTCATGACTTTCCCAGGACAAAAGGTTTTTGAAACTAATACCATTCTCTTTATTTTATTAGTGGAAAGATAATGATACTCTTAATATTGTTCATTCATGACTTTCCCAGGACAAAAGGTTTTTGAAACTAATACCATTCTCTTTATTTTATTAGTGGAAAGATAATGATACTCTTAATATTGTTCATTCATAAAATTGATCTTCAAGATTGAAGTTATTGTCGGCAGGTGATAGCCTAAGAAGCACGGATATTTGTAAACTCATTACATACCTGTATCTGATACGTATCCAATCCCCAATACCCTTCGAAACGTACTGGATACGTGTTTTTTAATTATGTTATATTTTTAAAATTTTCATATGTATCTAATTTGTATTTTTAATTATTTTATATTTTTAATTATGTTCGATGCTTATTCGATACGTGTCCTAATTTGCTTTAAAAATGTTGTATCGGCGTACCCATATTGTTTTGCATTTGTATCCGGACTTCTTAGTCGACCACAATTAATACATCATTTCTATGTTTTGCTACGATACCTCTACATTTATCGAAGATAGAAGCCAAAAACCGCTACATTCAAGAAGCCCTTGTGTACTGCAATCTCTTAGGAGAGTCTCTGAGGGCAACGTGATATTTTCTTATCAATTTGTTGCTTTCAGAAACCAAACCGAGAGAGATAAAGCATGTGTTGTGACCATCAATTCATCCAACACTTTCTCAATATAAATTTTGTTGTTAATTCAGTGCTAATTACTATAATTTATGTGATGCTTAAAAGATACTGCTCACTTTAAAGGGAGGGGATGATGATTTCCAAATTGTGCGCCCTTTGGATATAGCTCTTTTTTCTTTTGAAGATTCATTTAGTTTATAAAATCATTATAAATTATTTGGTCTAAGTTGTATGTAGAAATGAACTAATGTTTGAGTTTGTAATTATGTATGTCCTGTCGTGCATGTACAATGGCTTGAGATGCTTGCGATTCAAAGTCATTTTTGTAAATTTCTAGATATACAATATCTGAAGATACATCTGCAGGGCTTTCCGTAAGTTAGAACCGAGATACCACTTTATAAATCTTGCGACTTTTAAGAAATGATGAAAGAAGAAAGGGAGAACGACATGATATGTTAATATTGGTTTGAGTTGAGTTTACGCGAGTGCCAATTTCTTTCTATGAAAGAGATTATCTGTCAATATATTTTGATTATGGAAAACTCATTGGGAGAGTTCATTGCGGAGTAATTTTGTAGTTGAAAGCTAGCATCATTGAAGGTTCTTTCATTTTTCTTAGTTATATCAGAAGGCAACCTGAGCATCACAAATTAAAATTCTACATTTTATTATCCATCAAAAAGCAAATACTTCATTGAGAGAAGAAAAGAATTAGAGATTAGTTTCCCTATGTTAAGAAGGGTAATGGTTAATTATATTAATTTTCTCAATGTTCCTTCAATTCTCTTGCCATTGTTAGACATATTTGACACGTACGATATAAAATTTTTAAATCGTTATATCTATATAAAGTTTATGCCCACAACCGGCCTTTTTCTCTTCTAATTCATGTTAGTTTCTTATCTATATGCCTTCTCACCCACATTATGTATATGTATTCTGAAATTCTGTAATCTGTATACTCCTGCATTCTCTTGGTGACAGACCATGGTGTGATCTCCCCTAACATTGCGATAATATTGTCATGACAGATAATATATGGAGATACAGATTCAGTTATGGTGCAGTTTGGTGTGACCTCAGTGGAAGCAGCCATGAACTTGGGAAGGGAAGCTGCTGAATACATTAGTGGTACTTTCATCAAGGTAAGTGACATAAATGGGAAAGAGAATGAGAGAGAAAACTAAGAGATTACAAGATTTGGGAATTTGCTAGAGAAATTACGAGGATATCCATATCACTCATAGTATCTCTATAAGTCAATAATACTTGTCCTATTTTTACTTAAAGTTCCTAGCAAAAATAATGAAATGGAAAAAAAATTCCTAGGTTAAAACTTATAATTACTACAAGAAAAGAAACCAAAATCTACTTTTATGTTTATGCGTCGATTGTGAGTGTATGTGTGTTATAGTCAAGATAAGTGTGTGTGTTTGGTAAGTCTCCAGTGCAATTTCCATAAGTTATAGTAACAGTTTGTTCTGTCCCTTCTATGTCATCTTGTGAAAATACATCACCACCTCGAGGAAATTTTTAGATACCTGTGGGCACTTCATCTCATATTTTACAGCCCATTTCTTGAACCTTCTTCTTCAAGCAGACTAGGAGCAATCTAGAATCTGCATCAGAAATATATCCACTGCCATTTATAGAAGAATCTGGACTTAGCAACCTGCTGATTTTTTCTAATGGTGGAATAATCTATACTCCAAAGCCACCGACACACCCCTATAAATATGATTCAGCACTTACATTTGTGTACAGAAAAGAGAGAATGAGAATTAGAAAGATAGTGGAGAGTTAGTGGAGCTTGTGTGAGTTCTTCCTTTTCCAAAATAATTAATAGTGAATAAAGTCAAATTGTACGTCTCTTTTGTAATAAAAGAGTTTTTATTTTTATTTCTAAGATCTTGGTCATCACTTGTATCCAGCTATTTTTAAATCTAAGAACCTGGAATGAGCATCTAAAAGTTGTTGCTCAATATATTTTTGTCAATGTTCTGTATGGGGGAGTGGAAGGGGGGAGGGGGGATAGTGTTAAATGGTTTATAAGGACTTGTTAACTCCTACTTGTCAATATTGGTTTAAGCATTTTCACATTAGTTGGTTAGTTTGCAACTATGTTGGTAGTGCAGGGGTTGTACCTAAGTCCTTACAGGTGTATCAGCCACCATCATGGTACTATCCACTTAACTGAGCTTCAAATGTTGGAGAGGGGCATTCATAATGGGTTAGATGCGGCCAGGTTTTGACATATGGGTAGGGGAAATTGTGACTCCTCATGCACTTGGCTTGTGGAGGATATTGTGATAGATTTACAAGGACTTAGCCATTTTGCCTGTTTATATGTGTTAAATCAGTTTAGGTCGCTCAATTAGGCTCAACCTTTTTCTTTTTTTTCTTTTAAGGCAAGGAGTGTAACAGGGAGTTCTTTCCCATCCTTATAGTGATTCTTTCGTGTCAAGTGATCGTAATGTTTTCTACACTTTTGAGTGTGTGATCTGAAAAATGACTGTTATGCACTCATTTCTCGGATAAATATGTTTTTTAACTCTTGCACCCCCTTTTTCCATGCCCTCTTTGCACGGCCTTCTTTTTCTCCTCACACTGGTGTGATCTGTTTGCTTTACAGCCAATCAAACTTGAGTTTGAGAAGGTTTACTATCCATATCTATTGATCAGTAAGAAGAGGTATGCTGGTCTCTACTGGACAAACCCAAACAAATTTGACAAAATGGACACCAAAGGTGAGCCGGGCTTTTGACATTTCCATGGGATTTTCATGATATTGTGTTTGTTCTGTTTGTCTCCATTAGTTCTGTCATGAATACCATGACTTGACTAATTTATTAGGATTATCTGTTTGTATTCCCTTTTGATTTTGAGTTTCTCTTTTAATAGGGATTGAAACAGTTCGAAGGGATAATTGTTTGCTGGTAAAAAACCTGGTAAATGAATGCCTTCACAAAATACTCATAGAAAGAGATATTCCTGGCGCTGTTCAGTATGTCAAAAACACTATCTCAGATCTTCTTATGAATCGCATGGATCTATCTCTTTTGGTTATTACTAAGGTAGGAACCTAGCTTCGATTAAAATTATTGGCTGCTTGTTAGTCTCCATTTTCTTGCACTAATATTTCCAGCTTGATAGGGTCTTACAAAAACAGGAGATGATTATGAAGTTAAAGCAGCGCATGTTGAGCTTGCAGAACGGATGCGCAAGGTCAGAAGAGTTTATTTCTTCTATTATGATTTTCATAACACCGTTACTGAAAAACATGAATTTAAATCTGTTGCTGAAAGGATCATGGCACAGTACGTATTCAACGAAATATTATACTTGATTAGCTTGAATTTTAAATTGTCTAGGATAAAATATATAATGGTTCAAGGGATAACAGCTTTCAATGATAAAATTTTCTGCTTCCTTCACTGTTCAAACTGATTTAATGGAGAACACTTGGGATACATTTTTCAACATGTCAAACTTGTACTTAAGATTTAAAACAAGAACTTGAATTAATCATGTTCAACTTCGGGAATTGCCTGGAATACATTATAGGAACCATGACATTGCAATACAACAACATTCCTTTACCAAATGTCATATAATGTTCTCATTTTTGAGATTATATATATATATATATATATATTTATTATTATTATTATTATTATTATTATTATTATTTTGGGGTGATGGGACCCAAAAACTGAGGTTAGTAAACTAAAAGGTGTTGAAATATGGAGTTTCTATCAGATTCCTCAGCATATCTTTTCACTTGGCCGAAATGCTTCATACGTAATGTACTGCAAAGTGCAAAACCATGGGATGTTTTTCATTCAACTATGATCCTGATAAAAATTCTCTGATGGCATGTATGTTCCTATCCTTCCTCTCAATTCGGCTGATATATTCTCTCTACTGGTGTATTTTCTTCTTCGACTGCGAATCTACTATTTATGTTAAAAGGTAATTGGTGTGGTAGCTAAACAGAGTGCTAGAAGAAATGTATCCAATTTAGCTATTACCATAGGCCTACATCGCTAAGCAGGCTTTTAGGGTCATAGTGTTTCTCTTGTATGTCATAATATGCTCTGTATTCAGTACGACTTTAATTTAGGGGTTGATAGTTAAATTTTTGCTGCTCCATCCCCAGTAGTTTAATAATATGAATACTATGACAATTTTTTTTATCAACAGCGAGATGCTGCTACTGCTCCAAATGTTGGGGATCGAGTACCTTATGTCATAATTAAGGCCGCGAAAGGTGCCAAGGTAATTCTTTTCGTTAACATTTTTGTTGATAAACTTCATTGCACTTAATATGCGAGTTGACGTTGCAAGATTAACTGATGACAAACAGGCTTATGAAAGATCAGAGGATCCCATTTATGTGTTAGAACACAACATACCTATAGACCCTCACTATTACCTCGAAAATCAAATTAGCAAGGTTGGTGAGGCAATTTATGCTGTTATTTTTGGTTTACTTGTTCTACTTGCATGCTGTCAATAATACTGTCATTTGCAGCCACTTCTAAGGATCTTTGAACCCATCTTGAAGAATGCTAGTAAAGAGCT